ATACTGCAGATGTCAAAGCTGAGCTCGCTGAAGTTTGCTTGCTTCTCCTGTTGAATTCTGCTGAGGTTGATAGGTTGGTTGTTGATAAAGATGAGACGAAGGCACCCCTGATATCCTGTGTGAGGTTTCTCACAGCCAAGTTCATACTGAGATACAGGGCAGCCTGGAACAATACAATGTCTACATTTAAATAATTGGGTGAGGATGCAAAACCATATAAATCCTGCTTTGAGAAAAAAAAGCAGTAAAACCCAAAGACGTTTATGCAGATATTAGCAAAATCACACTGACAGATTCCAAGCTTATGGATTAAGAGGATTTGGTTAAGACAGTTGAGGTTGGGAAAAGATTACTCAGAGCAGCTTTAGGTTATTTGCAACAATAAGTTTATTATTTTGTAAGGACCAAAGCTTTTAGACGTAAAGCAATTTAAATTCCATGTGAAATTTATTAAAAAAAACCCTGCTGTGGGCCAAAATTGGAGGAAGAGCAGTTTTGCATTGTCAAAAGTAATTACTGCTAATAAAATAACATTTGCTTAATCTTTCATAAAAAATAAATAAATGGGTGAATTATCTGATTTAGCTAAAGTAGCAGTAGAAATAGGAAATAGGCTCTTTTGCTTAGGTCAAACGCAATTCTAAGGTGATTTATAACCAATTCTCTTGCCAGCAGCCAATAGGTCACGGCAATTTGTCAAAAAAGAAGTCAATCTGGACTGCATTATCAATTGGTTGAAGCCAGTGATGGAGAGTGCATTTCTACATTTTAACAGGATGATAGATTTTAAAGTACAAATTACAAATGAAACAACAGTACTTGTATTGGATGAAATAATCAGGAAATAAGTATTTCTGTTTAGTGTGTTTTAAAAGTAACCCTTTGTGGTTAATCTTGTTGTGCTGTTTTTATTCATCAGTACCTCCAAATATAACAGTTGTTCTCTGTAAGCTGGTGGTAAGATGAGTGATCTCCATGACCACTGACTTTTGATTGTCGACAGTCAGATAAACCTGCTGACCTTTGACCTCTACCGCCACTGAGTGCCACTGTCCATCACACAAACTTGGACCTGGTGCACAGAAAGAAACACATAAGGAATTGAAACTTTACCAGTTCAGAGACTGTCATTATTTGCCAACCATACCTGAGAGCAAATGCCTTAAAGTGGATTATTGTGGATATTTGTGGAACCCAGTGCAACTGCACCACCAGTGGTCATAAGAAAAATACACAGAATGGAATGAAGAAGCAAGGCTGGGGCTGAATTCTTCTTAGCCCAAACAGTAGATTCATCCTCAGTGATCCTAACACTGACTCAATGTTTCGATACATTGTGCATTCTGAGATGCTTTTATGCTCACCACAGTTGTAAAGAGTGTTTATTTGAGTCTTCTTGTCAGCTGGAATCAATCTCTCTCTTCCCCTCCGACCTTTGTCATCAACAAAGTGTTTTCACCCAAAGACCTGCCACTTTTACTGGAATGTTTTTTGTTTTCAAAAACACACAAAAAACATGGAATGTTTTTGTGTGTGTGTGTGTGTGTGTGTGTGTGTGAAAATCCCAAGACATCAGTAGCTTCTGAAATACTCAAATCTATCTGCCTGGCACCAACAAACATGCCAAGGTCAAAGTCACTGAGATCACATTTTTCTCCATTCATAAGTTTGATATGAACATTAATTGAATGTCTTGACCTGTATCTGCATGATTGTACAGTATGCATTGCATTGCTGCCACATGATTGGCTGATTGGATAATTGTGTGAATGAGCAGAGATAGAGGTGTTCCTATTAAAATGTGTGTTGAGGGTATATTCCAAAAATGAAAATGAGAGTAAAGACAAGTTTGCACAAGTTCAAAATTAAATAAATTGTGTCTGTGTGGCTATTGGTAGATTTAATGGATTTAATTTTTCTCTCACCAGTGCTGATTTGAGCCGTGTCTTGTGGGATTCCTCTCAGGGTGAGCAGGAAAAGCCCCCCACTGAGTTGCAGGATGAGAGATGATGACTTCAGGCCCTGACTCAGTGGGACAGAAAGCAGACGGCTGTCCTGATTCCAGGTGCGGAACTGGAGCCGTATGGACAGACCTTCTGCTGCCCAATCAGTACGCAAAACCAGAAAACTATTGGTGGCACTTAAAAAAGTCACAGCCAAGGGCTGCGACTCGGAGCATGAGAAAGTCACATTACCCTAAGAAAGAGAATGGATAGAAGATACATGAAAGAGTAAATATAGCATAATGAAATAATAATTAAAAAAAATATAGTAGGTTATGAATATGAGAGCAGGGATGGTAGAGTAAGAAATTAAGTTAGATGGTTGAAAACTTGGGGTTTGTTGAGAAGAGCAGACATCTGTCACAGCATGACAGCAATACAATTACAAAATGTAAATTCATTAGAGGATTCAAAACGCAAAGGCATATATAGAAGATAGATTGGAGTGTGGATGTAAAGTGATAGGAAAAAAATAGAACAAAGGTGGTCAGTGTCACAGCATTAACTCCTCATGCAGCTCAAGTCTCAATGTAGTTGGGTACATGATTTGGCTCTTTGCTCTTTATGTCATATGTCTGCATATTTGCTGAACTATTATCAGGGCTGGTAAGTAAGTACACAAACCTGCCTATAGTTTACTAATGACTGCCAAATAGCAAAATTTAGGGCATGCTTTTAAGTGCTGGATCATGGAACAAATTAAAGGATCAACAGCCTTTAAAGCTGTGGAACTAAAGTACTTGCCACTTGGCTTCTAAAGAAGTAATAAGTGATGACACTGTTAAGAAAAAAATATACAGTGGGTGATACTGTTCAATACTTTTTTTCCAATGTTCAATACTTTTTTCCATGTCATTCCACTTCATTATACATATCTGTATATTTATGAACTTTAATGTTGTGAATTCTTTAGATTTCCAAATTTCATGAGTTAATACTGATGTCTGGTGAAAAAAACTGAAAAAAAATGTTGATGCTTTCAATAATTATTTCCTCCACTGTATATATGAGACCACCCAGAGAGAGAAGGGAAGAGAACAACAAACAGCAAATAGAAAGAAAGAGCAAGAGAAAGAAAGAGTGACTTGCTTCACTTCTTAGTATATTTGTTAACTAGACACAGAAAGGGCACTATTGCAGTTACATGTACATAGCAACTGTCATCTCGCTCTCACTCTCTCTCACATAACACACACACACACACACACACACACACACACACACACACACACACACACACACACACACACACACACACACACACACAATCCTCAATCCTCAACTTGGCATTGTAGTGACAGGAAAAACTATCACTGCAATTAAGCAGAAATGTGTGTACTGTAGATCTGTGACTAACCGTGGGTCACACATACTAACTGGCATAACACAATGATCCTTAACATTTCCGAACAAACAAATGTGACCTCAGATTTGTTTACAATGATATTATATATAGCAACATCAGTTAACTGAGGTTTTGCGCTCTTGGCCATGTCGATGATATTGACTCCATTGTAGTAGAGGTTCTCCAAGCAGCCATGGAAATTCTCCCTCAGAAAAGTCCCAGGCTTGCCTGGCAGAGGGATTCCTCCAAAACTAAGCTTGAGTTCACAATCACACACACAGACACACATTCACACATACAAATGCCAGGAATGACCAAGATGCTAAACACAAAGATATACTGAGCTCAAATAATGATGCAATGTCTAAGAAAATAATTGCAGCGGCCTGGAAAACTCCATCAGATTTCACTGCTAGAAAACTCTGGAAAACAGCCAAAAACTGAGCATGAGCTTTAAGCTGTTTGTCTGCAATGATCATATTGGGTAAGGAGCCAGTTTACAATTTACACAGCTGTAAATGAAGAGCTAAAACTAAAGAATGCTAGCTAAGTGTTATTTCAACACACAGTGAATGTCAGGCTTTGATCAAAAATAAAAACAATACAAACAACAAACCCCAAATAAATAGTGAGATTCAATGTGTGGCAATGCTGTAAATCCCAGTATTTCTAAGAAATTTTTGAAAGTATATCATATAAATGGCTGCAGTATTCTTGTATTAACAACTGCTTAGACTGCAATTTTAAGCTGCTTTTCATATATCCTCTGAGGAACATTCAAAGGCCAAGAGTCCTCTTATGAATTACAATGAGTTCTTTATTTTGATGAATTCATTTTGGAGCACTTACAGTAGTCAAGAACCCTGTTAATGGTAAACATGTTTTCCTTTTCCTATGAACATACACAGTTCTAAAGAAGGATATAACCATAGATGGATGGATGGATGGATGGATGGATGCATGGATTGATGGATGAAGACTATTTTGTGGGTCTTGACAGTATTAACCCTTTATACCATTTGAACTACACATTTATAACACACATAATTTAGTGAAATGGAAAGAGAAAAAAAACATGCCTTATGTTAATAAGTTTTCGACACAATTTCCCATTCCTTCAACTTTACTGCTTGATGACTGCAGTTTTAATGGAATCAATACGTAAGAGAGTGTTGCAGGATTGCTTCAGAAATTGCAAGTAGAGTTCCCACACTTGAGCACTATTGTAACTGTCAGTGAGATTTTGTTCCTTTGTGCTGTAATCCTTTAACAGTGGCAAGAGAGAGCAGAGCATCATTTTACAGCAATCTTTTATTTTAAAGCAATCCTGTTCTCACATCTGATCAGTGTTGTTCAGTCACAGGGTGGCAGAAGATAAAGTTTCATCTGGCCAACTTAATGCCATGGCAGCATGCAACTACATAAGATTTCCATCCATCCATCCATTTTCTGTACCACTAATCCTATTCCAGGGGACTTGGGACTCACTGGATGTTGTGCCGACCCAATGCAGGGCACAATCGCACACATATTCACAATTTGGAAATGCCAATCAGCCTACAATGCATGTCTTTGGACTGGGGGAGGAAGCTGGAGTACCAAGAGGAAACCCCAGAGGCATTGGGAGAACATTCAAACTCCACACACTCAAAGGGCAGAGGCAGGAATTGAACCTCCAACTTTGGAGGTGCGAGGCAAAGGTACTAACCACTAAGCCACCGTGCCCCCCTAAATAAGGTTTAAAAGAGAGCATGTGCAATGTATTTTATTTAGCTTGCAAGATGACTGGACAATAATTGCAGGATACATTCAATAAAAAGAAGAGCAGTAATCAGCTATATAAAAAAAAAGCTGGATGCAGTTTCTTAGTGATCATGGTTGATCACAGTGAGTGATTACAGTTTAGACCCCAATTCTCCAGATCTATAGAGGCTATAAACCCTTCTGCATGGTAGGAGAAGTTAGTCATTTAACCAGTGCCTGTCTGTGGTGTGATTTGGTTACAGAAAAAGATAGTTATAATAGCATTTGCCTTTCTAAACATGGCATCTCTTTTAGGCAGTCACAGGGGTCTCAAGCAAAAGAAGGCTTATTTACTCTCCTGGTTTGTTATAGCATATGAACAGTCTTTCTATTAGAGATTTAATTGATTTTTGTTTCTGCACTACCAAATCCAAATATCATTCTTTATGTAGGTACATGAGTATGGATGTTGGAGTATAGCATTACCCAATTTTAAATCTAATTTGAATTCAATAATATAAAAAACTTCAATTTATATAAAAAAAAAATCATTAGTTTCCATACAAACCATAAACCATTTAGCAAGGGAGGCTTATGAAACAGTAAGTGTGCAAATTCTAAATAAGTACAAGGTAAATGGATTAATCAATAAAGACAAGCAATATGCCACATGCACTACATTTGAATATTATAATATGATAATATAGTTCTTCTGACAAATTAACACTCTCCTGTCAAATGCTACAAAGGAATTCAGATTTTAAAAATTTTTTGCCACTTCCCCATGTCTTAAAATAATTTCGCCAAACCACAGCTGTAACAAAAAGAATAAAATAAATACTACTACTACTACTACTACTACTACTACTACTACTAATAATAATAATAATAAAATTCTGCACAATCAAATTATTTTCCTTGGAAAGATTTAATCTTTTTTTCTTAGAAAGGGCGCTGAATGTCTTATTTTAGACTTAAGCGAGTCTTAGACTTAATGCAAGTGGTAATTATCATTACAAAATTATTAAATTAAAGGCTTGATTGTGGAATACAGAGCACACTCTAGGAACAAAGCTTCCCTGGAAGGCAATTCAATATTTTATGTTTTAATTAAATAATCATCATATTTAAGACATTATAATATATTCAAAACTCTCTGGCTTTGTTTTATGCATTTTACAACATAATAGGGCACCAATATTCACAAGGTATGGAGATGCTATCTATTAAGTAAACAGTTTTCTGCGCTAGTACAGCATTGAGGATCATAAATTTGACTATTGATGTCAGCATTTTAGAGCATATCCATTAATTGTATAATCCATAAATCCACTGATTGCTCTCGATCAGGCCCTAATAATGAGAAGATTTGAATATTGATAATAATAGATTTAGAATAGATTTAATACAGTGTAGTTTGTGGGATGGCGGTCCTCACCTCATAGTCTACCTCCAGAGAGTCCTCCTGGCCCTGTGTGCGAAAGTGCTGTGTGTCTTTGTCCACTGTGTAATTCACCTGCTTGTTGAAACGCTCTATGAGGACAGAATGCCAGAGATGGTCATCCAGCAGACTGCCTAACATCACTGAAGTGTGTCTACCACTGGACTGGGGTTTAGCATCGTCTGTGATCAGAGAGAGTGAAAGAAACATACAAGGAAGAAAGCGAGAGAGAGAGAGAGAGAGAGAGAGAGAGAGAGAGAGTATCCATCACAAAGCTGAGGAAAAGCAAGAGCACTTTCTTTAACCAGATGTCAGCAATTAGTTCTGGATTAAGGGAGAGGTGGGTAGGTGTGTATGACTTACTGCTGAGGTCTCCATCCACCTGTTCTAATGTGACTTTTAAATTTATACCCTACTCAAATACGCCATGTGTACGAGCAAGCAAGCAAGCCAAAACATGTTCCAGCATGAAAATGCTCTTGTGCACAGTGAGGTCCAGGAGGACATGGTTTGCCAAGTTTGTGTGGAATAACACACGTGGAATAACTCAAGTGTCCTGCACGGATCCCTGAATTCAACCCCACTGAACACCTTCGGGATGAACTGGAACATCGACAGTATCCCAGGTCTTCTCGTCCTACATTACTGTCCATTCTGACTAATACTCTTGTGGCTGAATGGGCACCCACATACATGTTCCAAAATCTAGTGAATTGCCTTTCCTGGAAAAGTGAACTTAAGTAACTAAGTGGGGAACTAAATCTGGAATTGTGTGTTCAACAAACACATTATTGTTATTGTTATTGTTACATTGTGTTATTGTCAAATGGCATGAATTGTTTGTGGGGTTCTCCTAAAAATCAGATCAGATATTGCAAGTACAAGATATAGCTCATTTTATTTTACAGTTTGTCCTGCAAAAATTGTTCATTGTTTGTTTGTTTATTTATTTATTCGACTTATAGTTCTTTTTAAACCAACTATACTAAGGTGGAGCTGATGGGTAAATAACTGCAAAGGGCCTCAGTGGGTTTGGTGTTCACGAAACAAGCAGATTCTTTTGGTGAGTTCTCGGAGCACTTGTTGTTCACATTACAACTCCTTTTCCACAGATGTTACTCTGAATTAAGGGTAGTGTCATTTATAATGCTGCTTTACATAATGTTATCATTTGGCTATAGATGAAAAGAGAGAGAGCATAACATAATTGAAATAAAATACCAGAACTTAAACTAAAACTGCTGAATTTGCTGTGGGACCACATGATCCCATGAAAAGCCATTTGAGATTTTTTTTTAACTTAATTTTTGTTAGGTGACAGAAACTGGAGGTATGCTGTATGTGTGCATCAACCCACAAGTTGTTTTTGAAAGCAAATGTGAAGTGGACTGAGACCACTGTGTTTCACAATGCACAAATGAAGGTGACCACAATATTAACCACAAACGAACCCCTGGAGGTGGAGTACGGTTCACTGATGGGTCGTTTTAAAGGGGTCTGAGATCATTATTGTGTTCACATATGCACAAAAAGTGCTTATTCATCCATCTGAGACCACTTGGAACTCAACTGAGACCACTTGGACCAAATGTGAAAACACCCTGAACAACTTTTCTTTGCTAGATGAGACAAATTTCATGTGAATCAAATGATCAACCAAGGAGGAGTAAAAAAAAAAAACACCATGAGCCTAGTTTAAATCCCCTTGCTTGCCCAAGCTTGCCTTCGGCTGTACCTAAGGACTGTTTGTTTGTGGTCTAATGTTCATTGGCATCTGATTGCTACAACCCAAAAGAAGAATTATACATAATGGCACAAGCAGGGAGATTCAGGATTGTTCAACCCCACATGTAAGATCCTGCTGAACTTCTAAATTATCATAGCATGCTACTCTAAATAGTTTACCTTTGTTTGCTAATTCCCTTTCACTCACCACTGAATAGGCCATTCAAGTTTTAATACATAGTTCTGATAAAAGCTATATGGGCAGGAGGAGCAACATCAATGGTGGCACCACAATTTACATAACAAGGTGGGAAAAATAACTATTATTCTTACCTATTCTACCTATATTGCACATTGTGGCCCACAAGTCTAGAACATTAGAAAGCAATCACAGATTTGACTTTGACTAAAATGTGTGATACATTCGAACAGAATGCAATAAATTCGAACTGCCTCCTCACATTTGAAAAAGATCACAGCTACTTGGAGAGGAACAGCTAATAGCAGACAATTTTGTTCAGAAACCTTGGGCTTGCACGTCTAAACGTGTGCATTGTTTGTGAGTGTGTGTCTGTGTGAGGATGAGTTGCTATAGCAACAGCTTCCAGCACAGTGTTGAAACGTGAGTGTCTGAGCACTTCTGTCTCATGTAACTGTAAACATCTACTTCACTACTCCACTCCCTCTTAATCACTCTTGTTCACTTCACTCCCCCAGACACTGCTCCTGCTTTTGTTCACTCCACTCCCCCTTCATTTATTAAACCCACTCCCCCATAGTCCTTCCCCTGTACTCATACACTTGAAAACCCAAAATCCCTCTCCTGCCCTTGCTCATCTTCACTCACATCTTCAATTTTATTTCTGCAAAAATACAATCTTCAATTCTTCATATGTATCTTCTGTACAATCTCTCTCCCTAGCCATTTTCCTCTCTCCCTTCTTTGTTCACTCTCCGTCTTCTTCCACATTTCTCATGTTCTCTTGCTCTCTTCCCTAATTGTCATACTTTCATTCTTCCTTTTTCCTTCCTCATTCTTGTAAACATTGCAGCTCTCTCACTCCTCTGATCTCTATATACCATCATTTACTAGCTCTCTCCACACCGTAATGTCCTTCACTCGTCATCACTTCGGCTTCTGCACTCATTCACACCACCACCCCAATCTCCCTCCATCATTTGTTCACACAGCTTCCTTAAGCCTCTCCTTCATGCACTTGCCTTCACCCACATTTTTGCAATTTAAATTGAATGAAAATCCAATCCTCTCTACTTCATATACATCTTCCATCCAATCTCTGTCTTTCTTCCTCTCCCTATACTTTCACTCTTCTTTTTCTTCATTTTCTCTTCCTCTTGTCCACTCTCATTCTCCTTCCCGCCTAATTACTTTACTGTTACTTTTCTCACAAACTTTGATTTTCCTCCCTTATCAGTGCTTCTTCATCTTCCTTCTCTGTCTCTTTCTCTGTTTTTATCTTTCCATTGCACTCTCCCTTATCAAACCCACCTCATCCTTTCATTTCCCCTCACCTTCCTCATTTCCCTGTTGCCTAGCCCTCTCAATCTTTATCACTGTCTTCCACTCTCACCTCACATTATTCATTTGCTCTGTCTCTTCTCTTTCCATATCTCTTTCTTATTCCTCTTTCTTTACCCTTTCATTCTTCCTCCTATTTGGAGAAAGTTACAGAGCACCTGGGCCAAGAACTAGATTCGTGAACAGTTATTTCTTCTCACAAGCCATAAGAATCTTAAAACTGAATCATTATACCATTAACACAATTTACGTCTTCATGAATACTAACAGAAGTTG